ACTGGAAAGCCAGCCCAATAAGTCACCGGGCTGTGTGAAGCACAATTCAATCAAACACCCAAAAAGTTGTTTAAAATATCCAATTACAAAAACTATATCTGATTTTTTAACCTTGGGTTTTCATACTCTTTAACCTCAATTTGCACATATCTGATCAAATCTGAATTTTTGGTTAGAAAACTGCTTAAACCCCCCAGACCGATACAGATTTTGTAAAGTAGAGGCCCTGTACAATAAAAAAAAATGACTTGCTATATTTTATATTGCACAATATTTGTGCAAATGTTTATCAAATTGCTATTTTTAGGAAAAACTCTCTAATTTGAGTGCACACAAACAGAATAGAATACCTATTTTTTTTGTTAAAACAAAGATATTTAAAATTTGAGCATGCCCATAAAATGGGAAAAAAAATAAAATACAGGCAATGCTTTAACAGTCTCTCGCACGTAGTTTGTTTTTAAAAACTTTATTTCTTTACCCTAACTACTCTCAAACATACTTACCTGCCTTAGCGTGTCTAGAGTACAAGTCCTCCTCATGTGCTTTCTTGCCAAACGGTTCCCCTGTCTTGTAATGGGGCAATGTTGAAGTTTAGACCATCTACCTGGTGTACTTTTGATATTTGTAATGCCACATACTTTTGACTGTTAAAAAAAACTCCTTGCCTAATGTCTGTCTACTCAGAATCTACTTGTTCTGTAATGTATACATTACAGGCACTGAGACATTTCCCGATCTCTGCAGCTGCAGACCGAGAGCATGTCTCAATACCTTCGATTGGCGCTGTCAGCTTCCTGGCGGGCTCGGCACATGGAGCTGCGAACACGCCCGATCCCATCACTATTTAGGACCACAATGTTCATATACGTAGTGCGGTCATGAAGCTGTTAAAGAATATACAAAGCCAACACTTTTCATTTTGGATAGAGTAGGGGAGGATTAAAACCCTGTTTTGTTTGGCCTCTTCCCCGTTGGAAGATTTTCTTTCTGTTTCTGTTCTGGAAACTCTCACAATTTTAGATTTACCTTCACTTTCATTTCTGGTGTCATTGGTTTAAGAGAGTTTCACAGTTTAAGAGAGTGAAGTGAAGAGTCACTAGAGGTTTGGTGAGGAGCCCCTGAAAGCCATCCCTACCTGTATTATAAACATCTTCACTCATTCTGATCCTTCCATATTACCCTGTTTCCCCGAAAATAAGACCTAGTACTATTTTTGGGAATTGCTAAAATATAAGACCTACCCCGAAAATAAGACCTAGTTGTGGCATAAGGGGTAACTTGAAGAGCGGTGGGAGAGAATTAGCTGTGCCAATGAAGCCAGCGCGAAAGGAAGCGAGGCGGCAGCGGAGGGAGCAGAGCCGCATAAGCCCATGCTTCCTCTATAGCACCCACTCCTGTCACTGGCGGAGTGAATCCTTCTATTGAATTAATTCATCTATCTGAACTGATAAATGATTAATTTGAAACACTAAAGTGTTGCATCAATAGGAATGCAGCTCTGCTAGTCCGCTCCTAGAGTGAGAGAGCTCTGCCCCTCCCTGCAACCAATCCGAGAGCTCACAGTACACTGAGAATCAGAACTTAGAACAGTTCTCAGTCAATAGTACAACAGTACACAGAGAGGACACACAGTCTGGATCAGAGGAGATCCTCATTTACATTGTCCGCTCCTGTTCACTTCTTTGTCAGCAGACTCAGCAAGTGAACGGATGAATCAATTCATGTAAGAGATCCGAATTTCCCATCACTAGTGTGCAAGAGCAGTGTGACTTTACACAGAGTTCCAGCACTGCCCAGTCTCAGGGAAGGAGGTGTGACAGCAGAGAGCCCTGCAATGAGAGTGGGTGGGGCCAGACCAGCAGTCTAAAGGTGGCCATACACCTTACAACCATTGTACAACTTTTGCTGTCCATACATTACACCTCCTTCAATTTTCATTCAAACAGCCCATCATGCACAGACCAATTTAGTTTGTGATTATCGTTGGTCAGCACCACTAACTGGCCAATTTTCATCCATCGAACGACCAAATTTTCGTTTGCATGTGCAGGTTTCATCTTGAAATTTTTGTTGTACCACTAACGCCACTAACCTGTCGATTTGCCATCCAACCAGACGAAAATTTTCTAGCCTGCTTGAAAGACTAAAAGCTGCCAGTTGTACGGAATTGAGGTTGTGCACTTCCCATCAACTGGCAGATTTTCAGTTGAAAATGCGATCGTAGACAAAAATCTGCAGATAATTGTAAGGTGTATTGGCACCTTTAGGCTTCACTACTCCGCCCACTGCGGTGCATGCTGGGATGTGATCTCTTCCTGCTGGCTGCAATAGATCTACAAGGGGGGGGGGTTATTAGACCACAGGCTAGGCTGATAGACTCCACAGTGCCTAGTGCTCTAACAAAAAGGAAATGAAGGGGGGGGCAGAAGGCAGGAAGTGCAGACTTGTACCATGGATTTCTGGAAGCTCATACTGCTATGTAGAAAAGTTAGCACATATTTTTAATACTTCCAAAAGCTAGTTACAGTAGGCTGAAAAAAATGTTTTCCCGGAGTTCTTCTTTAAACGAGTGTTTTTGGCTGTAATTATGAACATTCGCTTTTCATACTTCTTTTCCTTTTGCTGTTTGTGGTTCTTCATTCGTCTGCTCGTTTTACCTTGGAGATTAGTAATGTGTATTCAAATAAACTGAGTCATTGCACATACTGTGAAACTTTGATGCAGTCAAGTTTGATGATATCTGTGTTTTTAAAAATAATGAAGCTTCCTATAGACGTGAAATGGCAGCTAGCGGTTAGCAAACAGCACAAGATTCTTGTGTTCTGACATTACATGAAAGCAAATGATGAATGGATATCAGATGGACCACGTTTTCTTTAACAGTGCAACTTTTTTTTTCTTATCCCTGTCAGCCTATTAAGCAGGCAGATAATTCAAGTGTTAAGCTGCCCACACACCTTACAACCATCGCACGACTTTCATCCTGCGATGGTGGTAAGGTAATTAAAATCTTGTACGATCTGCCCATCTTGGACAGGCAGATCGTACTTGCGATCATCGGCAGGTGTATGGGCCTTGACTGGAGCCAAAACTTTTAATTGTATTTTGTGGAGAGCAATTACAACACCTGTTTTGGATTTTTTTTTTTTTTTTTTAGAAATTCCTTAAGGCAGAGTATAAAGCATGTGTAGAGTACCTGGTTTTTAGTGTTCCTCTTCGCGATTTGTCCTAGTGACTGTTATCAATGAGAGTGAAAGAAAAACCCAAATGTTGGGCTGTCATCAGAACAGAAATGGGTGGGAAATCTCCCAATGGGGACACTTGTTCTGGTGGCCTTGCTGATAACCACGGATCTCCCTCACTTCCGGTTGTGGCCATTGGCCAGGAAGTGAAGGGAAATCTCCCCAATGGGACATAGATGGCAAAAAAGCAGACCGGATATAAAACCCTCTCTCTTGCATATATACTGAAAGTTTTTTGGCTTCAGTTCTGCTTAACAGAAAAAATATTGTTGCACTAAATAAGGGAAATGCTTCCAATGGAAGTGGCATTCACTGAGCCCTGGTTGCGTTGTGGAACAATGTTGCACCTGTTTAGCTTTGCTGAAAGTGGCCTGACTTCCCTGAAAGTAGTATATGGCCTATTAGAGAAGACTGCTATAGTGACTTCAGAGTGTCGGCTTCAGGTGGGGTTGGCTTGGGGTATGGCTGAGAGGAAGCTCCATCCATACGTGCATTGCTTACAGCTCCCTCATGTGTTCTATAGAGGTGCCTGGACCAGTGTCTGGCTCCCGGCACCTCTACAGGCGCGCATGGGAGTTGTACAAGCAATGCACATTGCTGGATGAAGCTTCCTCACAGCACAGCAGCCCACACTGGACCCCAGGTTAAAGACCTAATACAGTTTTCATAAGGTAGGGAAACTAGGTGGATCTTAAACAAAAGAAAAAAATAATTTTTATTTGGAGTGTATAAGTGCGTGTGGGAATCTATCTGTGGTTGTGTGTGTCTGTCAGTGTTTTTAAAGGAACGCACCTCCCATTCAAATCAATCGCCTACATCGGAACGCGCAGTACCGCAATGCCCTGCGTTCCATTGCAGTGTGACTTGGGTCGCGACTTAATAACCAAGGACTAATGTGGGTCCTGAGGTTACACAGGTTTAGAACCACTGCTCTAAGGTATAGTTGGAGCTGTCCTTTAATTACTTTTTTAACCAGAGACTTGGAACAAATGAATGGATTGAAAATGCAGAGTAAAGTCTGAACTCATTATCTGTATTCTTGTTCCTGGTTAGTGACTCAATGTTTTGACGCCACTGGGTCAGCATGACAACCAGACATCTAGTATATACAGAATGAGAATTTATCAGTGGCACTCTTCATGCTTCTCTCAGGAGAGCAATTTGGGATGGGAGAGTGGATCTAACATGTCCATTCACCCCCCTTAGATTTGATACCAGTTTGTTCTGCTTAATTACTTCATTTGTATTTTCTTCCCATCAAAGTAGACACTGCTTAAAATTAAGTGCTGATCACAAACACCGATATAACATACACTGATCAGCCATAACATTAAGGTCCTCCTTTTGCCACCAAAACAGCCCTGACCAGTTGAAGCATGGACTCCACTAGACCTCATAAGGTATGCTGTGGTACCTGGCACCAAGCCATCAGTAGCAGATCCTTTAAGTCCTGTAAGTTGCAAGGTGGGGCCTCCATGGATCAGACAATTTTTAAACATTTTCCTACACATCCCTCTTGCATGATTGAATTGAGAACTGGAACATTCGATATATGGGGTCCCCAGATAGTGGACGTATCTGATACAGACTCTCACTTGGGAAGCAACCTAGGAACCGCTACCACTCCATGAGTTCCGAATCAGGGCTCGGACTCCACTTCTATTTATACTACCGATACTAATATTTTCTGCTTTGTACACATTTATTATGTTTTATAACACTTAATGAAAAATATTTTTCTGTTTTGTTTTTTAGGTGTTGGAAAGAGTAGTTTACTCCTGAGGTTTGCGGATAACACTTTTTCAGGTAACACTGTAATAACACAGTTGAGGCAGCAGTTTGGACGTGGTGGTGTTAAAGCATCATTAGTGAGTGGCCTCTGCGCACTGGGAGTATAAAGCTTGTCTGCTCTTCATAACATGTACAAGATTCATCCAAATGCTTTACTTATGCAAAGGGTGATCTGACTGAATGATTGGGTTGCTGGGTTTTGCCAGGTTTGACCACACATTTGTTAGTGTAGGCAGACAGGTAAAATCTCAATTGAAATATTGATTTGTTTACTTGCTTGCCTTTGACTGAACAGAATTACACATTTTTCTGAGAGCTTTCTAATCCAGACTGGATACTACGGAAAGTCCCGACCATTTACTTCTCTCCACTGCCAATGGCAAACTTAATTTGTTAGATTCCCAGCCCTGTGCAACACAATACAGACTGATTAGCTGCTGGTGCTGCCCGTTCCTTTCCCAGTCTTGATGTGCAGAGGATTACAGAAGACTAGAACCTAAACCGATTTGAACTCGATAGACTTGTCCTTTTTCCAACCTAACTACATATTTAAAAATGCATTTTAATTGATCATATAACTGGAGTTATTTTATAGCTGCTTGGAGTTTGGCTTTAAAGCCCCTAACACCTGGCCTAACACTAAGTGCACCCTAATATTCTTCTACCTCTGGCGTGTGTAGGCATAGGGAATGTGTCTTGCCCAATGGACATTTAGGTCTGTACATGTGTCCTGTGTGTGGATACAGGTCTTAATTTTTCCATAATTATTCCTTTTTTTCACAAGAGACAGCGAGGGAGTTTTTTTTTTTCCGTTGGTAGATCTCATGTAGCTCATCATTTAAAAAGTAGATCTTAACACAAAAATTGTGGGCACCCCTGCTCTAGTGTATTGTTCTAAACAATACAAGCTTCCTATAGAGTCATGTGCATAATCCTGCTCCAAACAAACTAGAAAGGTAAGAAATGTTGAGTTATTTTAAAATGGGGACACATAACAAACATATCGTGGGGGTTTTGCAGAGGTAAAAGTACATTTTAAGCCTCAGATCCTTGAGGACATTTGTTGTGGTCATTTAGTCCTTGTTTGAAGAGTGTGTATGTTTATCTCTGTATGTATCTGCTCGAATCTTGTCCTCACTTCATTGTAGTATACACGTAGAGTGCTTGTTCCTATTTAGTTCAGTATATCTGATCAGTCCTCAAGTTATGAAATAAGAAGGCTTATTGTTTTAATTGTATTTATATAACCACTACATTGAGACTAGCTGCTAAAATGTTCCAAATGATTTCAATAAAGTTTTTCATATTTTCCATACTTTTGAGTGCTTGGAGAGGGATTCTGTCAGTAAATGTCTTCTCCTTTTACAATGAATATATTAGCAATACATTAGAAATTAACGTGTACAAGTAAACACTGAAGAATATGATTTCTTTTCCTTTATAGGCAGCTACATTACAACAATTGGAGTTGATTTTAAAATCAGGACAGTAGAAATCAATGGGGAGAAAGTGAAACTGCAGATATGGGACACTGCCGGGCAGGAGAGATTTCGGACAATAACATCAACGTAAGGATGAACAGGAAGTAATATGTCCGGGTATTGTGTGGGCTTGGTCAAATGCAGTGTTACCGTTTGCCGTTCTGTACGGGAAATGACGTACTACAAAAAGATGCTGAGTTCAGAATAGTTTACACATTTTATGTTGATCTCTTCCATTCAGAAAAACTCACATGGGGTTTATTTGTATCTAGTTTACTAACCACATTAGGGTTTCATTTCGGCATGGTTAGTATTTAAAGTGACACTACACTCAGGAGTTAAATGTTAAAAATGGATTAAAGTATCTTAACCATTAACAAAAATGTATCTTATTTGTGTGTCACTTGGCTGTAGATCCTCAAATCATCTCTGAATTGGTGGTGACACTGTCCTTCCTTCTGGAGGGTGGCTACTTTTGTTCCCCATGGTCCCTGTGTGTGTTGTAAAGTAGTCACCGCTCCAAGCTCACTCCTGTGATGGACTACAATCTCACCTTTAGTTTACTAATTTGTATTGAAGTTATAATCAATCATGGGAGCGAGCTTGGAGTGGTGACTACTTTACAACACACACAGGGACCATGGGGAACAAAAGTAGCCACCCTCCAGAAGGAAGGACAGTGTCAGCACCAATTCATAGATGATTTGAGGATCTACAGCTGAGTGATACACAAATAAGATACATTTTGCTAATAAGCTACTTAACTGCATTTCTAAGATTTAACTTCTGAGTCTAGTGTCACTTTAAATTGTATTAGAAATGTGTGATGATTGCGGTTATAAACATACTGATAATATTTTATTAATACATGTACCTTTAATGTATTATCTGAAGTGTACTATTGCCATGCAGCTTCAAAACTTGAATGCCCTTTGGAATCTGAATGTTGGACTCTGGGCAACAAGACAGATCATATTTAAACACATTAATATTCCAGTCCTTCCTTCCTGCTAAGCTAATTACATGCATTTGCCATTACACATTTCTTTTCCCTTGTGCCTTTTGCTTTTCCTTTTAGTTGTTTTTTGTGATTTCTCTGGCAATATAATTGTGTCTGCTAAAGTGGCCTGGTAACTAAATCGCCCCTGTAGATCTGCTGCATCAAAGTTCTCATGTGATTCTTCCTCGCACTACTTGGTTGGACGTACGCACATCTGATTATACAATCTTTTAAATTTTTCATCAGCTATGTAGTGCAAGAGCCTGTATACTTGGATACATATTGAATGGCTTCCTTAACTATATCATTTGGTAATTCAAAAGGAGATTGTACAGAGATTGTGCAATCGCAATGTAATGTGTTTGGCAAGCTTTAAGCAAATCACGTGCTATTGGACACTATGGGAGGACGTTTTTAATGACCTGTTCATAACACTTAAAGGAGAACTATGGGGTTAAGGCTTTCCCCCATAATTCTCCTTATGGTAACGGGAGGACACAAACTAGCGTCCTCCCGTCACCCTAGGCTCAGTATAGCTGCTTGCGGTATACTGAGACGCTGAAGCGGATCCCGACAATTATGCCGGGATCCGCCCAGCTGCGTGACTGACAGCTGGCTCTGCCTATCTAGAGGCAGAGCCAGCTGTACCCGCCCCCTCCCCGTCCGTTCCGCGGCGGATTGGAGCGGGGAGGGGGGAATCCAGCCCCTCCCCTGTCACGGCAGAGAGCCGTGACAGGATCGAGAGGTGAGCGAACGCCGGTATGTGTTCGCTCACCTCCCGATCTACTGAGCCGACCTGTGACAGTCTTATTGTCACAGGTCGGCTAGAACTATGAGGTGAGTGAAAAGCACTCGCCTTATAGTTCTCCTTTTAAAGAACTCCAGTTAAAAATGTTATTAACCCTTGCAGTGTGGCTACCCCAGCACTGCAAGGGTGAAGTGCTCATTTTTGTCTAGGTGCTAAAAAAAACAAACAAGTTAGTCACAAGACCATCTGAGCCAGCTCCCTGTTTCTGTGATCATTGACGTGTGACTGCTCTTCGGGGTCCACATGTCTATGCATAGTGTATAGAGCATGATGACATTAGGATCCTTAGACCACTGCAGCAGAGTGGGAGACACGCTCAAGACACTTATCTAAGAACAAGCTGGCCTAGGTGGTCTGTAGAGTATAACCTTTTTTTTTTATTAGCACCTAAACACAAATAAGCAGCTAACCCTTGCACTGCGGGGGTAGCCCCACTGCAAGGTTTAATACATTCCCAGAGCTGTTTGCCTTCTGTTTGCTTCTTCTGCAGTAAAAGTATGGTCTCTCCATAGTTGGTCACCCAGTTATATATATTTTTTTCCAGATAGCATAACCAGA